TGGGGATGGTGGTGACGATGAGCGTGGCAGGGATGAAGGTGCTGGGGATGATGAGTGTGGTGGGGATGGTGGTGACGATGAGCGTGGCAGGGATGAAGGTGCTGGGGATGATGAGTGTGGTGGGGATGGTGGTGATGATGAGCGTGGCAGGGATGAAGGCAGCAGCGGGGCCAACGGGCACCATAAAGCAGGGCAGCAGAGCCGCCAGTGCAGGGTGCAGGGCTGCCCCCTCTGCGGCCAAGGGGGCTCCCCGAGGGTCCCCCAGCCCTCCCGAGGGTCCCTCACCGGGTGTGCTGCTGGAGGTGGGACAGCTGGCGGAAGGACTTCTCGCAGTAGGAGCAGTGGTAGGGTTTGACGCCCAGGTGGATCCGCAGGTGCTGGGCCAGGTAGGAGGCGTTGGCGAAGGACTTGGAGCAGTGGGGGCACTTGTGGGGCTTGGCCTCCGTGTGCGACTTGGAGTGGATCTGCATCTCCGACTTGGTGAAGAACGTCAAGGGGCAGACCTTACACCTGGAGGGTGTGGGGGAGAACCCCGCAGGGACCGGGCTGGGGCGGGGGTCGCCCCGCCAGCGCCCCGGCCCCCACGGCAGGCGGGAGGGTGCCTACCTGTACGTCTTGCCCTCTTTGGCCGTCTCCCCCGAGGCCAGGATGGGGTAGGGCACCACCAGGACGGGCGGGCCCGACGGGTTTTCCGCCTTGATCTTCTTGCGGCCCCGCTCGGCCTTGGGCGCTCCCAGCAAGCCGTGGCCCTGGATTGTCTTGATGGAGTCGAGGAGGGGGGGGCTGGTGATTCCTGAGATTAGGGTGGGCGAGGAGGCGATGAGGCGGCTCTGGCTGGTGGAGGTGGGGGTCGAGGGCGTGGTGGTCCCGGTTCCCGGGCTGGACTCCGAGGTGCTGACGGCGGGCGCGCGAGATGCCAGCCCCAACCCTGGCGAGGGGGAGGAGAGGGGAGGCGGGGGCTCTGGGGGGGCCCCCTGTGCCCTCCTGGCCCGGGGGGCCCCCGTGGTACCTGTGACAGTGCTGGTAGCCGGTCGGGCGTGCAGGGCCACGTCGGGCTGGGGCACGGCCTGGGGGTGCAGCCCCGGCACCTGCTGCAGCTTGGGCAGGGACATGATGGACTGGCTGCTCTCGGCGGGCGAGGGGGGCACCAGGAGGGGCTGCTGGGAGGCCACCGAGGTGGGGGGCAGGTGTGGGGGGCGGATCTTCTCCGCCATCAACTGCTCCTTGATTTTGTTGATCAGGACCAGGTTGTCCAGCTGAAGGGGAAGAAGGCAGAGAGGTGGGTCAAGGTGCAGGAACCGGGACCCCTGGGACACCCGGCCTCCCCCTGGGCTTCCCCCCCGTGTCCATCCATCCTTCCCCCTCCCCAAAATCCCACTGTGGGGGTCCTACCTGGCTGGGCATGGTGGGGGGGGGCGGCCAGAAGTAGGGGTTGTTGAAGCGAGGCTCCGCCATCCTGGGGAGAGAGGGGGTGGTTATGGGGCATCGCCGGTCCCCGCACGGACCCCCTTCCCTCCCACCTCCCTCGGGGGGCTCCGACCCCCCCAAACCAACCACCACCCCCCAGGAAGCAAGACCCAGGCTCTGAGCAAGGGCAGGGAGCGGGCAGGGCTGAGGAACCCCCCACAGGCATCTTCCCAGATGGAAATTCCTGCAGGATCAGGGAGACACCCGCCTGTCTCCGAGACCCCGAAACACCAGCGGATGCAATTTGGGAAAGGGGGAAGGCTGACATTTGAGGGAAAAAGCTTGGGATATCTCCCAAGCTCTGGAGGTATCCTCCCCATCCAGGAGGGGTTAGAGGTGGACAGGACACTGCTGTGGGAGATGGCAAATCCCAGCTGAATTCCCCTCCAAACCCCCCCCCAAAGGCGAGCGAAGCCCCCGAGAGCGGCGGGGCGGGG